CAAAAAATAGTTTAACATATGTCAAATTCCAACATAACTTAAGATTTGGATACATAATAAATTTATAACTACATTCAACAATGAAATTCTACTTTTATTGCATCACTCATTATATGTCAAGTTTGTTAATGACTCATTATTTCTAATATTAGGTGGTGTAGATTCAAAAACTAGAGTAATCAAACAAATAAAAAATAAAATATAAGCAATTACATGGAATCACAAGAAGTAAATGTAGAGAAATAAAAGATAAATAATGTACAATTTTTTTTTTAAAACTTCAAAATAAAAAATAAAAAAATTAAAATAATAGAAATAAAAAGTTATAAAGAAAATAAATTAAAATAAAAATAAAAAGAAAAAAAATTTAAAAGCAACCTTGTAATTACACAATGTAATTACCACCAATTCTCACCTCCCCTTGAGAATTGGAGAGTGTAATTACCCCCTCCAATTACACACAATTCCATGCTGACCAAGTAATTACTTGGTCAGACAAACATGCCAAACTGTGTAATTACATCCAAATTCAGTTCCTAGGTACTTTCCAAACAGGCTCTTAGTCAAAATTAATTTTTCTTACGTAATAGATTTTAACATTTTAAGGTAAAAATGTTTTTGTATGATTTTTTTATGTCCTACTAAAAACACATCCTTATTCCATTAGAACTAAAGTTATGGTGAGATGATAAAATATTTCTTTTTATATTATTAATCAGAAATCTCCAATTTAAGTAATATAATTATTTCCTATAAAGCATGCTGTGAAAAAAACACATCCTTATTCCATTGACCAAACAAAGGAGCATACCACCTTGTTATTTCATTACATTTGTTTCCTATTCTTTTGCTTCCTTTTCAGATTTTCTTCCCTTGTTTCCATACAAAGGTTCCTTTTCATTTTCTTTCCTACTTTCCAAATTAAAAAAATAGTAAATTAGTTAAAAATAAATAAATTAGTTAAACCACTCTGCCCCAACCCCCTTTCTATCTCTTTCACTACCCCTCTAAACCCTAATGATTTAAACGCGCACACACACACACAACCAATTCGCACACACTCCAATTTTTCGCTGTCTCTGTCCGCAACCTCTTCCTCCTCCTCCTCATTTCTTCTTCATTCTCTTCAGTTTCTATAAAACCCTAGAAGAAGAAGGGAATTTGGAATTTCAATTTCCCTTCTTCTTATCTAATTTCGTTTTTTTTTGTGTGAAATTATGGATCTTCAGAACCTTGCTATTGTTCTTCGTGGTGCACTTAGTCCTAATCCTGATGAACGCAAAGCTGCTGAAGACAGTCTCAATCAGGTTTAATTTTGTTCACTAAAGCATTATTGTTCAATTTGAAGTTTCTCGTGAATAAACTGAATTTAATCGGATTTGATTTGTTATGCTGTTTTTTAGTTCATTAAAGCATGGGTGTTGAATTTTGACTTGCTTGAGAGTAAACTGAATTTAATCGGATTTGCTTTGTTATGACTAAATTATGACTAATACTAAAGTAAAGCTGCTGAAGATAGTTTCAATCAGGTTGAATTCTGTTTATTAAAGCATTTTTGTTGAATTTGAAGTTGCTCGAGAGTAAACAGAAATCAATTGGATTTGTTATGTTATGATTAAATTATGAGTAATACAAACATAAAGCTGATTTTAGTGTTTATGAAAGTATTATTGCTGAATTTTAAGTTGGTCGAGAACAAACTGAATTTTTGGCGATGTTACCTACCAAATAAAAGGGCTGCTAGGTGATCGAAATCGCTCAGGTCAGTGAGGACTCACTCACTCACCTACTCCTTATCTATTTAATTGGATTTGTTTTGTTACGACTAGATTATGAGTAATACAAAAGTAAAATTGCCGAAGATAGTCTCAAATCAGGTTTAATTTTGTTTATTAAAGCATTATTGTTGAATTTTAAGTTGCTCAAGAGTAACCTGAAATTTATTGGATTTATTTTGTTATGATTAATTTATGATAGTACAAATATAAATCTGATTTTATTGTTTATGAAAGTAATATTGTCAAAAATTTTAAGTTGCTAGAGAGTAAACTGAATTTAATCGGATTTGTTATGCTGTTTAATTTGCAAAACAGACTGATCTAAATTTATCGTATAATTACTATTTTGGTACTTTTGGAACTGAATTATGGATTTCTTTTTAATTTATATATATTTAAAAACATACTTTTACTAGTTTGGGTAGTTTTGGTAATTGTAGGATTGAGCTTGAATTGATTTGACTTAGGTGTTATTATTAACTTTTTTGTTTATAAAAAAAGCATTAGTGTTAAATTTTAAGTTATTTAGCTATTTGTGATTGTTGAATTTTATTTTAGTCTGTCTGGATCACAAGCTCACATCTTGACATTATAGGATATTGAAATCTCAGCAGAACAGTTATGTGGACATTGGATTCTTTTGATTTTATTTATTCCTGAGTGCACCTATGTTTGCAGTTTCAGTATACTCCCCAGCATCTTGTGAGATTGCTGCAAATCATAGTAGATGGGTCTTGCGACATGGCAGTCCGGCAGGTGGCTAGCATTCATTTTAAGAACTTTGTTGCAAAGAATTGGTCCCCTCATGATCCTGGTAATGGCCATATTTACCCCCATTCATCTAAAAAGGGAAAAAGAAAGATTTTTTATATTTGGAATTAAATGTCAAAAATTATACTTCACAATGTTTGTCATTAGTGATCGGGTAAATTTGGTATTTACTGAGAAAATTGGTGTTGATGTAGCTGAGCAATCAAAAATCCTGCCAAGTGATAAGGAATTGGTGAGGCAAAATGTTCTCATATTCATTGCACAAGTTCCCTCATTGCTGAGGTATGATGGCTCATCTGTACGCGTTGTACTGTGTTTCTTATGTTATTTGAAAAGACAAAATGTGGATATTCCTTTTCTTTTATTTTTTAGTTTTGGACTTTCATAAGTAGACAAGTTTGTTATTGTAACAGAGTACAGTTGGGGGAATGCCTTAAGACAATGATACATGCGGACTACCCGGAGCAGTGGCCAACACTTCTTCCATGGGTAAAGCATAATCTGCAGGATCAGCAAGTTTATGGTGCTTTGTTTGTACTGAGAATTCTCTCCAGGAAATATGAGTAAGTTGTTGATTTAGATGGGTGCTCGTGTTCAACAATCTCTTTTCTGTTGAAATATGTTTCTGCACATTGTGCTTTACAGTTCCTCTGCTGGTTCATGACCAGTGAATTTTGCGCTACAGGATGTACTTTTCATGTATTTGAACCCTTTACTTTGAACTTCAGGTCTTAACGGAGTAATGTCTATTAGCAAGACCTAAAAGATATATAATGTATATAGGTATTTATGCATGTTATTTACTAAGGTTCAAAAACATGTATAAAAGAGTTACTCTTGCTTTTGTAACACATCATAATAGTAATTACCTCTGCTCTCTTGTAAAAAAGAGTTGTTATGAGGCTGCAGGTAGTTGACTTTATAAATTAGGCTTGTAAATTTTGGGTGTATTGAGTATGACAGTGGTCGATGTTGTTCAATCCCTTAAAAACTCGGACAAGATCAAAATACTGTGTTAGAGCTTATCCAACATCTTTTTTGACTCTTAGCACTACCTTTTTGAACTGAAAAAGGGTTTTAAACAACTTATCTTGTTCCAAAAGGTTTTTTAATACAGTGTAAGCAACTTATCTTTGCGGGTACTTGTTTATAAACCCCAAGTTATACACATGTACATATAATAGTGTCAAAGAGTTCTTAGCAATT